ACTTGAACATCCATAAATCCATGGGCCCTGATGAGATGCACCCGCAGGTGTTGAGGGAGCTGGTGGGAGTCATTGCTAGGCCACTCTCCCTCATCTTTGGTAAGTTGTGGGGAACATGAGAGGTGCCTGAAGACTGAAGGAAAGCGAATGTCACTCCAGTCTATAAGAAGGGCAGAAAGGATGACTTGGGTAACTACAGACCGGTCAGCCTCACCTCCATCCCTGGAAAGGTGATGGAACAACTTATCTGCTGTCTCTAGGCATATCAAGGATAAGAGGGTCATTAGGAGCGGTCAACATGGTTTTACCACGGGGAAGTCATTGTTTAACCAACCTTATAGCCTTTTATGAGGACATAACCAGGTGGATAGATGATGACAGTGCAGTGGATGTGGCCTATCTGGATATTAGTAAGGTATTTGACACCGTCTCCCACAGCATCCTCATAGGTAAACTGAGGAAGTGTGGTCTAGATGATTAGGAGGTAAGGTAGATTGTGAACTGGTTGAAGGAAAGAAGTCAGAGAGTTGTGGTCAATGGGTCAGAGTCTAGTTGGAGGCCTCTATCTAGCAGAGTCCCTCAGGGGTTGGTGCAGGGACCAGTACTATTCAATATGTTCATCAGCGACCTGGATGAGATTGCTGATGACATAGAACTGGGACGAGTGGCTGACACACCAGAGGGCTGTGCTGCCATTCATCAAGACCTAGACAGGCTGGAGAGTTGGGTGGGGAGAAATTTTATGAAAGACAACAAGGGCAAGTGTAGAGTTTTGCATGTGGGAAAGAACAACCCCATGTGCCAGTATAAGTTGGGGACTGACCTACTGGAGAGCAGCGCAGGGGAAAGGGACCTGAGAGTCCTGGTGGGCAGCAGGATGACCATGAGCCAGCAATGTGCCCTCGTGGCCAAGAAGGCCAATGGCATCCTGGGGTGTGTTAGAAGGGGAAGTGGCTAGTAGGTTGAGAGAGATTCTCCTTCCCCTCTCCTCTGCTCTGGAGGGGCTGCACCTGGAATATTGTGTCCAGTTCTGGGCCCCTCACTTCAAGCGGGACAGGGGAGGGCT